TGGACCGTCTGTGCTACATCCGCCCCGCACTGCCTTCAAAGAGCGATTTATAAAAGTACAAGACTTATTTAGCATGCGGTGTGTGTGTGTGCTGGAAATCAGGATGTGAAGAAGCATGTGCCCGTTGCAATCACATGGTAGAGCAGCGCCTTTGCATTTTTAATAGCTATCATAAATAACCTTGTGAGGTTGTGTGTTTATAAACGAGGGTGTGCAGCTGCATGTTAGTCTACTGTGCATGCATGTGCGTTTGGCGTCTGACTCGTTTCATGTGACATGATTCAGCTGTTGCAGGCCGGCGTGGAACGGGGAGATGATGTATCCTCACTCGGCAGACGTGAACACAACAAAATTACAGCCCAGCACGAGACAGCAGTTGTCATTAGTTGGCGCAGCATCCGAGCAGCCAAAAAGAAACGGCTCAGGTAGTCCAGCTGTTCGTTTCAGCCAGTGTCACGATGAGAGGGAGGCAGAGATAAAGACACAGTGAGGAGTGAGATGAGCAGTAGGAGGAGGATTTCTGTATTAGGAGGTTGCATGTTAAAGGCAAAGTCCCCCCTAAAACACCTCTAATACTTTAATCAAAGCTGTCAGCAGTGCACCTTGCATTTCTGAGATTATTTCATTGTTAGGTGGTACATTATTTTTGTATTTCTTATAGAGCTGCAGCAGTTAGTTAATTAATTGATATTATGTCAGCTATTTAATTAATCGCCAAATGTTTTTTTAAAGAAAAGACAGAAAAAATGTCCACATCTTTTGTTTTACTAAGTCCTCTAAGACAGTATGTTATGCATTGTTTGAAGTTATAAATGTAGAGGAAAGAATATATACAACAATCTTTTCAGTAATTGATTAAAAATACATAAAATGAATTGTTTTAAAGGGACACTCCCTATTACGGCCTGCAACAAAAACAAATTCCAAACTTTCCTGTCAGTGTTCTAAACTTGAATATCTTTGGGTTGCGGACTAAACAAAACATTTAAGGATGTAACCTTGGACTTTGGGAACCAGTGATCAACATTTTTCACCATTTTCTGACATTTTCAGGACCAAACAACAAATCGATTATTCAAGAAAATTATCAATTTTCCATAATGAAAATAATTGTTAGTTGTAGCCATAGTTTCTTGTCAGTAATTAGACAAACCACATGTGCGTCATTTAGAATGGATGGTAAAGATAGGAAAGAGTCCAATGTTTACAACTTGTGAGCATTCTCAAGGCGGTTTTACAACAGTTTGATGTGTGAGGGTTAAAAACCTTGCATTGACTATAGCACTATCCATCAAATCTGAGGCATCCATATTTGTCTGACTTTGGAAGCACTTTCATATTAGTAAGCACCATCCTGGAAATATCAGCGCTTACAGAAAAATCCATGCTTTGCAGTCGTAAATACAACTTGAATATTGACGGCATTAGTTCCTTGGAATGAAAAGGTAAAGTTTTCTACTAGACTGATGATTTATATTTATTTATGTCATACAGTATATTCACTGTTTGTTAAAGTAAAGATGTTTTGCATGGTTATGGTTTTTACCTACCTTCACAGTTTGAGTGTGAAAGTGCTGCCCTTGCCAGTTACTTGCTAGCTTCTTCTATAACACAAGAAACTGTTAAAGTAGAATTTTAGTCAGGATATTTAAAAAAAAGAGAGAGACTGGTTTTAAACAGAACATGGTATGTAATAGAAATAAAGTAAGGTGAAAATTTGCTTAGTTTTTCATGTGTATTGTTGGAGCAGCTGATAACAGCACAAAGCAGTCAGCGTGGGTTTTGTGATTTTGCATTTTGATGACTTTATTTATTATAATTTTTACTTTTAATTACGTTTTCTGTAACAGGTTCTACATCATCACAATTTCATATTTCTTTACAAAAGCGGTAAAAAAAAGTCTAATCCTTTACACACAGTACACTGTTCTGCACAGTGTTACTGCGCAGGTTTACGAGTGAGATCAACAGCAGAAATAGTGTCTTGTTTGCTTCCACCTACAATCAGTCTATAAAATAGATCTTAACAGCAGCCTCAATATACTCAATGCAGTTCAGTCACAAGCCATGTTAGAGCTAGAAACATGAAAACCTGGGTGATGCTCTAACTACATACACCACTATTGTATGCTGCCTACAACCAAATGTATGGAAAATGGGTGAAACATCAACAGAAATTACAAGTTCAGTGTTTATAAAATAAGACAAAACTTTTGCCAAAGTAGAGGTGTTTGTCAATGTTTTGTGAAATGGCTTTTAATGCAGAGAGACTGAAGAATGCATTCAATGTTATCATATACTAGATATTTCATTGAATTGAATGTAGAAAGTTGATGGTGGTGAGTAACTTCTGAATGATGCTGAGTACCAATATCACACTGTCATTCTGCAATACGCTAAGGCTTTTTGCCAGTGACAAACACGTGCACTTATAAGACAATAAAGACATAATGTATAATGTATGAAAAGAATGCATGCTAACAGCATTAGAGTGAATGCACGCACACAGTTCAGGAGCAGGGCGACCCAAATAGTGGCAATGATATTTTGAGAGTGTGTGAGTCATGCAATCCAAAAACAAGGCAGGGTGTGAAACGACTTCTTTAGAGCTCAGTAGGCAGAGCACACCAGTGGAGAGATTGTGGGAGGAAGGTGGAGAAGGAGCATAGTAGGCTGCATGTGTGGAAATCTGCTCCGTCTAGCTCTCGGAGAAAGACGTAGATATTTGCAGATTCAGCCTGAGCCTCTTCCAGGGCAGCGGAAAAAGCTGGATGCTCTGCATCTGACAGGTGGTTCCATAAACACTTTCCAAAAGAAGGCCAAACCAAACAAGATCTGTTTAGTGGTAAAAAAAAAAAAAAAAAAAGAAATTAGTAAAATCTGTGTATGACTCATCATCTAATACTGTTACCATACAGCTTCAGCTGCAGTGTATCAACATGCTATCATTTTGCCAACCAAAGATCAAAGTTATAAGCTATAATTATGATTCTTTGGAATAGAACTTTCTATTAATAACAGGCTTATGTGGTAGTACTTTATATTGATGCATTCTGCAATTAAAGGACCAGTCGGTAGGATTTATGGCAACTAGCGGTGCAGTTGCAGATTGCAACTAACTGAATATAGCTCAGCCTTCCAAGTGAGAAACTGGTAGCCACAAAACTCACAAAAAAACCTAAAAGGCCCTATCTAGAGCCAGTGTTTGGTTTATCCGTTTTGGGCTTCAGTAGAAACATGGCGGTTCAAAATGGTGGACTCCATAGAAGAAGCTCCTTCTGTAGATAAAAACATCTCATTCTAAGGTAACAGAAATACAACGTTCATTATTTTCAGGTCATTATACACAAATGAAAACATAGCTACAAAGCATTACAGAATTAACCTTTATTGTTGTATTATCAATGTCATTGTAATCGCTCTAAAATCATGGATGTTTTTTCTGAATGACACTCTCATGTCCACATCCCTCGATGTCACTAACATTTTGATGAATTGAATATTCCATGACATCACCTTGTCTCTCCCCATCTCCTTGCCTAAAGCTGGTGAGTTTATTGGGTCCTAATAAAAGGTCCTTATTTCTATGCATTCCTTCCTGTCGGCACAAAATATGAATGAAGGGGTTATCAAATAGCCCCCAAGAGGATTATTTAAGTATCTGCCTGACTTTGCCTTTGGACACTGTTACTCAGACACAATGGGGACGACTTTCATTTGGAGCCAATTTAACATGGTAGCACCTGTGTTGTGTTCTATATTGAGGCACAAAAAAAGTTCACAGACTGTGCTGGAGATGACAGAATGTTGCTAGTAATGGCGATAACAATCTGTATCCAGCAGAAGTGCATCAGCACATTTGTTAAGAAGGTTTAGTAGACTTGCAACAAATTTCCCACCAAACTATAGACTATATAAATAAAAATGGACGTAGTCTCTCTGATGTCACCCATGGGTTTCTGAGGAGTCAGTGTGAAGAGCTCAGTGTGGTGGACTCCAGCCATCGCCACCTTGGCAGTCCGGACTCCACCAGCTCCCGGCCAATCGAAAAATGGCCGTGGAGTGTGGGTGGAGTTGAGGTGGGCTGAATGAGACCTGGTTACTTAAACAAGTCACTTAAAAACCTACCTCTCAGTCAAAAGCTGCCCTTAAATATGTATAATTCTAAGATCACTTAAACTAGTGAGTTATACAAAACCTACCATACAGTTGTCAAATTTACATTTGTAAGAACAAATATTGGGTTGCCAGGTTGTGGAATGGCCACATAACTCACTTGATCTTTTTAGTTGCTCTTTAAATGATCATGCTAAAATGTGTTTATTGACAAACATTTAACTGCATATAACTGCACACACAATTATTTACAGCACAGGTTCTACATTATGTGTTGGTTTATATGTATGCACCTATCCCTGTCCCAAAGGAGTAGATTGGTTTTACAGCCTCAAATAATGTAGTCCCCAGCCTGGCAGTCGCAAGATATATCTGAATCATTGTTTTTCTCTTGTTTATTGAGATGTGACATGACTTAATATGCTAAAAGAGACAATAGGAGATTTACACAAATCCACAAAATGCAAAAGCAGAAAATAAACACAATGCAAAAATAAGCACCTTTTCCCAATTCCCCACTGATCCTGAAGTCTTATGTTTGCTTGGTTGGGTTCAGCTCTTTCCTCTTGCTTAACTGCCAACTGCCCAACATACCAGCAACAGTAAATTAAATCTGACTGCATCTGCATTCCCGTGCTACATTCCCACCAGGAGCGAGGGGGGAAGTGTGTGTTTATTTGTTGCTCTTGCTAATAGATTGCTCCTCTCTCTGGAGTCCATTCAGTTTGATGCAAGTTAATTAAACTTGTCTGAGTTCACTCTCTTCCTCAAGAGTAAATTAATTGATTGATCTTAGTGTACGTATCCAGTGTAGCCAGTCAAGGTTCCAACAATTAGAAATGTAACGTATGTTTTTCTGTTTTTTCTCTTTTCCTCTCCTGTAGTTTATTGCGTTTGCATCGTTGTTCTTCATCCTGGTCTCCATCACCACCTTCTGCCTGGAGACTCATGAAGCTTTCAACACTATCATCAACAAGACTGAGCTGATGCGGAACAGCAGCGTGCCGGACTCTGGCCCGCAGTATGAGATTGAAACTGACCCTGCGCTCACCTATGTGGAGGGCGTTTGCGTCTTCTGGTTCACCATCGAGTTCCTGGTGCGTGTGACATTCTGCCCAGTCAAGTTGGAGTTTGTTAAGAGTGTTCTCAACATCATCGACTTCGTGGCTATCTTGCCTTTCTACTTGGAGGTAGGGCTAAGTGGCCTTTCTTCGAAGGCTGCCAAGGATGTGTTGGGTTTCCTCAGGGTGGTGCGCTTTGTTCGTATCCTGCGTATCTTCAAGCTAACACGTCATTTTGTGGGGCTAAGGGTGTTGGGCCACACATTACGGGCCAGCACCAATGAATTCCTGCTGCTTATCATCTTCCTGGCATTGGGAGTCTTAATTTTTGCAACCATGATCTACTACGCCGAGCGAATCGGCGCTGGGCCCAATGACCCCACTGCTAGCCTCCACACCAAGTTCAAGAACATCCCGATTGGCTTCTGGTGGGCCGTGGTAACCATGACAACACTGGGCTATGGCGACATGTATCCAGAGACCTGGTCAGGCATGGTTGTGGGCGCATTGTGCGCCTTGGCTGGTGTGCTGACGATAGCCATGCCTGTGCCCGTTATCGTCAATAACTTTGGGATGTACTACTCCCTGGCCATGGCCAAGCAGAAACTGCCCAAGAAGAGGAAGAAACACATCCCTCAGGTGGTGCAGGGAGGGTCCCCCACCTACTGCAAAGCTGATCTCAACACCACCTGCAACAGCACTCAAGGTGACCTTTGCCACGTCAAAGGGAGCAGGGTACTAGAACGCAACCGCTCAGGTAAGATCATACGGGAGAGAAGATTATGAGCAACCACGCCTTAGTAGTACAGTTCAGGTTACACAGAATTATCTAGGGAGAGCAATGAGGATCCATAAGGGACCTCATCTCAGGCATAAAGCAGTGGCCATTTGACAGATCCCCCCCTCTCAGACTAGAAATGCTTTTCCCCCTGGAGATTCAAGAGCACCACAGCAGCTTCCCTCACAGAAGACTGAGCTTTTTTGCCTTGCAGCCCTCATCTCTGGTTGCCACAGTGATGAGGAAGGCAATACAAGGTATTGAGAGTAGTAAATGGTTGTGTGAAATAGCTCATACTGATAAGAATTCAGAGTCCTTGTGTCCAAGTCTTTCTTCCAATAGGGATTGTTCATTTGTTGTTCAAACCGTAGGTGGCTGTTTTTCCCTCTAGGCCCGTGTCAGTAATTTACTCTTACACATCTGATATTGATGGAAATTAGTGTTGACCTCCCTATACTGACTTTCATTGAATTCTAGAGCAGACATTCCTTAGGGTAGGTGGGCGCTCTGGGCTCTTCAGTTTATTTGTTTATTAGGTTTCAGAATCTTATATTGAATAAGTATAGAATAATTCATGCCTCAACTGAATCACAAACAGTCAATCTGGTTTAGTCGCCTGTGTGATTTCCTTAGAGGTCATTTAAAATATACAGTCTGCAAGTTTACAGTCCTCTTCAATGTTGTTTAGATTGCCTCACGCTTTATGTTTCAGTGTGAAAGGTTCAAAACTGTATGTCCAGTCACATGTCAGCTTCTAGTGTATGTGGATTTACTCTAAGATTAAATTATCTAAGATACATTTAAAACCTTTAAATTAAAACATTTGTGGTAACCCAAAGAAATGAACTTTTGGCTATTGACCACTAATAGAAATTGATTGTGACACTATCAGCCTGCTTCTGTCTACTCCTGTCTCAAATCAAGGACTCATTGTTTCAAAAATAACAAAGAATATCAATGGTAAATCTGCTACTGTTATCATTGTAAACGGTATATGTGACATGAGAGAGGAATAAATAAGAGGGCTTAGCCAGTGGTCAGGCTTCTTAAAAAAATACTAGTGTTATTTTATCTTTACCTTTTTATCAACCAGTTCTGTGAAAGAAAAGCAAAAATGAATCAATCCTACTAACCAGTACTGTCAGTGTAGTCAAAGCCTGCTATTATTCCTTTGTGTCACACTGTAGACCTCCATTGTCATCCAAAAACTATTAAAAACACATTAAAGAGCCACACTGATGTCATTTATGACATATTCCATCATTACAATGCACAATGTCATTGTAGTGATGGAGTGTGTCATCCAAATTCAACAGTGTGGCTCTTTTATGTCCTTTTAACTGTTTTTGAACAGGCTATACTGGTTAGTAGGATAAATGCATTGCTGGTGTCAACCTAATCCTTATCTTTGATTATGGTGTATGCAGGCGTCCCACAAGGGAAGACAGATTTTTATTGTTCTAAAAAAACAATGTCTTTCTCATCCACTGGAGCTCCACACACTGTCTGACCTTTGACCTGATGATGCTTGTGACATTTGGCGCAGGCTTTTTATGTTGGAGGCTCTTTGATGTTTGTTGTGACTGTCATTTTCCTGTCACCCACAAACCCTATTCCTTCACCCACAAACCCCCTTTGTCTGCTTATACTGTATACCACTGAGCATATTCCGCTGGGAAGTACATTTCCCATTCACTGTTCCCTAGAGAGAACGTATGTATGTAATATTTTAGCAGTGACAGGTAGATTTAATGTACACTGTCATATTGTTTGGAAGCAGTGAAATAGTACATTTTATTGTAATATATCATTTAAAGTGTTTTAATTTAAGCAGATAATTACATAACACATTTGCATTTAGTTTCTTTCACTTTTTTTTCTTTTAATTTGTAGAACTGCATAATGTGATGTCTGTTAAAATCACACATTATCAGTTTTCTCCAGAGTGGTACACTGTGCATCAGTAGTATCCACATAAAGGAAAGCCACTTTTCCTTTTAAATCAGGATGTATCTTTTAGGATTAGATTTCAGTAGCCTCTGCATTCAATGGCGATTTCTTTACAATAAGAAACAAATCAAATGTTAAACACTCCAGTGAACAAATCAAATCAATTTTATTTATATAGCCCATAATCACAAATCACAGTAAAAGCCATGTCCACTGACTTGAGCTTTTGTGTTATTTTTGAATTCATAGTGGAAATGTTATACTAAAGAAGAGCTTAAGCTAACTCGACCAAAGGAAGTTTGCTGTGACCAGAGAACTGTTACTGACATTAAAGTTGCAAAAGTTTGAAAGCCAGACTGGAGTAAGTTTAGTTCCCCGGCAACTTGTATCTTAGAAGGAAGGGATATGATTAAACCAATATATAACTGTTACATTATCTTATTACTTAGTATCTACTAAAGCTTTAAGGGTATTGTAAGTGCATTGCTTAAGGCTTTTATATTTATAAGCTCAGGGCTCAAAGCTTAAAACCTTTTCGTTGAGAATATTATTAATTGTATTAATTGTATGAAGTAAAGAAACTGTATTTTAAATGTATTACTGGAACCAGTAGAAATATTTCAGATCTCCAACCTGGCCTGTTTGTTTTCTCGCAGTGCTATCAGCAGACTGCAGCGGGGGCAGTGACCTGACCATGTCTCCAGAGGAGAGGGTCCCCATGCGAAGGTCCAGCACCCGGGAACAGGACCACCGGAGCGGGGGGACATGCTTCTTGCTTGCTGCTAGTGACTACACTTGCTCTGCAGATGGAGGGCTAAGAAAAACAGGTAACTGCATGTGGAAATTCAATTTCAATTCAACATTAAATAATTCAAAGTATGGATGATCATTGTGTTAGTTATTTCATAAAAGTCTTCAAAATCCATGCAATATTTTCTTGTCTTAGAGAATCATTCTGAAATCCATGCTTGCTATTGTGCATTAAGACTGATTCATTAGTCATATATATATGGCTGAGTTAGGTTTCATCTTAAAGGGATCTCCTGTGATCACTAGCTCTATTTTTCAGTATGTGTGAAATATCCTATGAATGCCTGAATAATCAGTCAGAGCAGTTCATATTTCAGATATGTTTTACCATGAAAATACACGTCAGAGCTTAAAAACACAGACATCAGTCAAAATCCTCATCAGCTGATCCATATCCTTAGTGACTGGGACACCAACATCCCTGGAGGGGGGAAGGCTGTTTGTTCAGGCCTAGTCAGCTCAGGTAACGTAACCTGTGGATCTGCTCTCAGCACTGACACACAGCACAACTTTTTTGGCAATTCTGAGGGGCAATAGTGACCATGCAGCTGACTCAGAACTGTTGCTTTCTTCACAATTTATTCATGTTTTCTTGTTGCCTGGAAACACTTGAATAAATTTCTGACCCTGTGTCTCACATTTTTGGCTGTTGCCAGGTTCATTGCCCATCTACAGCTCCCAAATAAATAGCCCAGTGTATGATCTGCTCCAAAGGTGATAATACACCAGCAGATATTTCTGATATTTCACAATCGGAGGAATTAAAATGGTTCAACTAATAGATTTTAATCCATCAACTCATAAAACATTTTGACTTGTCGTTTCTAACACTGCATCAGGCACTCAAATATAGCCTACTGAACATGTAGGTTTGTATCTAACATATCAGACCTGTTATATTATATTTTATATATAATAGTTTCATTAAGACAAAGGAAAAAAAGACGCAAGTTCATGCATTTGTTAAAAGCTTAGTTTTCTTAAGAACAAAAGTCAGAGCCTTACTGACCCTTTACTAAGCCCCACCCCCTTTGCAACGGTTGCATCTGTCCATCTTTCTGTTCTCACACAGCACATACACAGTTTACAATGATAATGGATGAGGATTCACCACTCACAATTTCCCAAATGGGTCCTTGACTTTGGATAAAAGCAGTCTTCTCATTTTCATTCTGCCACCATTGAACTGAATTTGTCAGCTGAAGTGATAGTTCTCACTGGCAGATTTTATAACCTGTAGCTAGCCAGACCGTGGTTTCTGGCTCACTTGCATATAAACTAGAGACCTGTGAAAAGGCTGTTAAAGGTTTAGTGTGTAACATTTAGGAGGGTCTATTATAGAAATGGAATATAATATTCATAGGTTTGTTTCCATTAGTATATAATTACCTTTTTGTTACCTTAGAGTGAGCCGTTTTTATCTACAGAGATAGCAGCTCCTCTTCTATGGATGCCGCAATGTAGAAACACTATGTTTATACAGTAGCCCAGATGGGACAAATCAAAAATTGACTCTAGATTGGGAGTGTTCGCATTGTTTGCAAAGTTTCGTGACCACCATAGTATCTCCTTCCCGCTCCCACTAAATCCTACATACTGGACCTTCAAATATACATTTGATAGCTACATGCATGTGTGCTTGTGTATCAGTCCTGAAAGAGGATTTTTCTAATATTACTTGGAACCCAACATGATAATGTTATTAGCTAGTTAAATAAAACACCCTTGGCCTTGTAAGTAACGCAGGGTTAGGTTACTTCTGTAGGTAACTAAGACAAACACACATGTTCATTTAATCCATTCCTTACACATTTGATCTTGGTATGTTTGTTTTGGAATTGCGATGAAACCGACACAACCCTCTAGGCACTTAATTTATATTATATTCAGTAACAGTCTCACTAGGGCCCCATGCACAACACTTCAGCATGCAGAGAAATGCAAAGCTTGACAGGCCTGCCGTGACTACTTGCGGTTGCTGAACTGTAATTTACCAATTGCTGCTTGGGGGAAGGTTTAGCAAACAGTCTATTCCAAGCCCTTTATATAATGTTGTTACTGTGAATTTAAATTGTATATATTAATGAAGAAGTCAATTGGCCCAAGTTATACATTATGAGATGGCCAGCGGCTCTGGTTGCACGACCATGATGATTCTTGTTTCTGATTGGACAATGTCGAAACTTTGCTGGCAAAGTTTACGAACTGTAAAGCTTTATTGATACATTATTATTATTATATTACATTGTTTCCAATGAGGGACATCATTAACAAAATTTGTCTTCAAATTTTGCTGTCAGATTTTGCCCCGATGATCAGTCATCACCTTCAGTCTTACAGCAGTGCATCAGTGGAAAGGTCAGACTCAGAGAGGGCTTGACCTTCCAAACACTTTGACCCAAACTAAAGGTCATTACCAGAAACCCTTGTTGCTCTTCCATGTGATTTCAAAGGCCGAAAAGGTCATGAACTAAAATGTATAAAGTTGCGCAGCTCACAAAGAGGAAATGAGGTCACACTGTAGCTGATTCAGAAGGTGTTCCCCGCAGCAAAATCATAAAAGACAGTATTTCTGTACAATACTGTCAGTTACACTCAGTTGACCACACTAAAATAATATTTAGACTCCCTGTGAGGCCTGAAGCATGTTTTCTTAGATTAATTCCTCCATTTTATCTCAGGCATCTTGAGGCTTTAATGTTGTGTTAATCTAAACTGTAATGTGGAAGCGGTAAGCCTCGGCTAATTGCCTTCTAACAGAAGTTAACTGCCTCTCCAGGAGGACATCTAAACGTCCTGCTCTCAACATTATTGCTCTATAGCCTTGTAGCACTACTGTACTCACTCTATAGCAGGCTGGTCAATGCTCTCATACCATTAGAGTGCCACTTTGTGAATCAGAGAAATTGAATTTCAGCTCCTATTCTGTGAGAATTCTAGTGAGATCATACATCATTCATGTTTATTGTTATTCTCAACTGCACTGTAGGAGAAAATCTAAATATTTTGCTGATGGTTTTCAAGCCAGGTTTTAGATTAACAGGTTAAACCACTGTACACGTGGTCCAGATCCTCTAGCGAGCACACTGTGGTGGTCTCGCTCACAGCGGGGCACCTCGCCAGTCTTATTTTTTCCAACGTAGGCGGCCGAGCAGCTGTGCCTTCGTCTCCGCTGCTTCAGTCGGTGGTTGCATTTGCCCGCACACTGTCGCTAATACATAAAACATCAGGTCCTTTCTAGTCCCTGCTACCTGTTGGCATAGGCCCAGACCACCCTTTGTTCTGCCTGCTCGGCTGGTTCTGAAACAGCCTCCGTTTAATTTACACCCTTCTCCTCAGTGAAACAAATGGTGCCGTATGCAGTATGGTAATGAGGCCACGTTTCCATTAGCTGTTCCTCATCAGTGTTTACGCCAGCTGATTGGCATGCTCCGTTAATGATCTGGCTGCTTTGGCTTGCTTGTTTATTTTGCACCAAGTGACCGAATGCAAATTTGCCAGCGTGCATCGCATACTGCATTTTTAGAAGTTTGATCTGTGGCAAAGTGTGAATCTGTACCGATAATTGAAGCATTAATAATTAAAGTCTTTTTAATCATCCTCATCATCATCAGTATGTGCAGGGTACAACCTGAATCTGTACACACTTAAACAGCAGGTTATATTTGATACATAATGTGCATGTTGGTAGTCTTAATCTGTATGACTGTTATATTTGAACTGTGTGCTTCAATGTGAACGAGCAGTTTATACTTATTACCATTCTTATTACCGTTCAATTTCTTGTGAGAGAAAATACTAATGATGATGCCTTGAGATGAATGCCTGCTAATGTGTGATTCTATTTTTCAACACTACCACTTTAAGAACAACAGTATCTCTTATTTGACTAATAGTTTTCCACACTTAACTCTGGCAGACTGGAATTTTAATCACACAGGCATTTCTCAACAGTGGAGGAGGGTATAAAGCAATCTGATTGGTTGAGTGAGTGGGTGGAGCCAGAGAACCATTTTCAGTCATATGGCATTATAGAAACAGAGGTGATTTCATAATTTCATTCATTCATAAGCATCACGTGCATCATGTTGGAACATCAGCATGTCAACTTACTGGCTTCTGGAAGTCCAGCTAAACTAAATGGCAAACATGTATTATTAACAGATATTTTAATGCAGCTAGTGTCGTAATTGCAAACCACTGAGTGGGAACAACTGTATGTCAGCCTCCTAGTTGTAATTCAGAGATATGGATATCATATCAACATCCACTTGGTGAAAAAAAGTGTCAGCAAACCAGAAGCAAAATGGCAGCCATGCCATAAAATCCAACATTACTATTTCTACAGTAAAATCTGCTAAAATGAGCCAGACTGTGTTTGTTTGTATCTGTTTCACTATGAGTGGTGCCCCTTATTAATGGGTGGAACCAGATACAAGTAAATGGTGCACACCTCCTTTTTGATTATCTCAATTGACTGAATTAGAATGAATTTTGGATTTGACATTTTTGCTGAATGATGTATGAGTCATAGCTTGACTCACACTTACAACTAGAAGGCTGATGCAGCCGACTTTTCCTACTCGGCCGCTCATAATTACAGTCTGAATGAATGTTGTTTTCAAATTAAGTAGCTTGCTTTGAGAGCGAGGAATAAAATAGCTAACTGTAACCTTTTTCCCAAAAAGACATAAGCTGTCACATAACCTTCATATTTATAACTTATTATTAGGTATCAGGAGGATGGTGCTCTGTATCTCTAGGGGTTCCAGCTGCAGTTTCCAGTGTAGCTGGAATGCATCTAACACCATAAAGACTATGGTTCTTTGGCTCTGCCCACTGAGGATGAATCAGCCACTGAGGTTAACTCTCCTTCTGGAGCAGCCGCTGCTCAAAACAATTGCCCATAAGGCTCCAATCTGCCTTACTGTCATTGTCAGGAAATGTGCTGTGCATGCACTCACCATACAGTATGTTACCGTTGCTCTGTCTCACTCCTGTCTCCTATTTTGTCTCGGTTCACTCGGCTGGCTCGGACTCGGATCGTTGCCTGCCTGCGTGCCTGCGTGCCTGCCTGCCTGCCTGCCTGCCTGTGTGTGTTCATGTCCTGTTCCTGCACAACCACCACCACCTCCACCACCACCTCTCTGTCGCCCCCTCATCTGAAGGCTATGAGAAATCCCGGAGCTTAAACAACATAGCGGGCATGGCTGGTAACGCCCTGAGATTGTCTCCTGTGACCTCGCCCTATGGATCGCCCTGCCCGCTGCGGCGCTCTCGCTCCCCTATCCCCTCCATCCTGTGAGACGTCCAGCCCTGAGCCACTTTGGCCCAGAACACCCCACATTCTTACCCCCAAACAAACCTCCCTTTGGTATTATATCTGAACTCTGTTCTAGATATTGTGACTAGTGGATAAGTACTTAACTTTGTAGCTAAGACTAATGTTAGTGGCTTGGGCAACCTGAGCAACTTCCCCTTTTTCCTTGAAGGTACATGTGCTTGGCTTACATCCTTAAGTAACTAGTCAGTTCTCCTGTGTCACCTGGAGCTCCCTTTAGTTCGATATTGTCGTACTTTGAGACTTGCAATAAAAGAACTCTGACTGGTGGCTTCAGAAGTAGCAGCCATAACATTTAATAACGGACAACTTGATAATCAGGGATATTAGATGTTGCTATATTTAGATACCTTGAAAAAGATGTGCTTCCAAAAAAAGAAAGAAAGAGAGATGTCACTTAATTTTAACCTCATACAACTGTGACTTTGTCTTTTGTTTGCTACTTTATGTTTTGGGAGGCGGGAGGGATGGGCAACAGGACGGAGGATTTTGTCTTTCAGGACTGTGTTTCGACTCACACAAGCACACGTACAGTCTGTCAGTCTTCACCTGCTGCCGGGTCCGCTCATGTTTTTGCATGGATCATCCTGTAACCATCGTCTGCAAGCAATGTGGCGAGGGGAGAAGGGACGAGGCAGACAGAGAGGAGTGCTTAAGGAAATATATTGGAAATATATATATATATTTCTTTATATATATATTGAGTATTTTTAATTTAATGTTATTATGTTGGGGTTTAGGGGGCTACACTCGACTTGTATTGTGTCTTATTTTGCCATTGTCACCAACAATCCACCCAGGAGACTGAAAACACAGAATGCCAGTCGGGTGTTCGATTCTCTCTGCATGTATGCTGCTATTTTTTCCCGATTAACTTTCTCCCCACTTCCTTTATGTTTTTTTTTCTTTCTTTGATGGAGTGCCACCAAAGTGCTGTTGTGTCTCTGGTTGTTTACTCACAGATAACTGCAAAGAGGTTGTCTTTACTGGTTTCACACAAGCAGAGAGCAGCGTTCTATCTTAATGGCATGGGGGGAAGGCACCGCCATGGTGGAAAGGTAACCATCTGAGCGAGCATGAGGGTCACATTGCAGTGCGTCCCCCTCTCACCCTTTTTGGTCATGAGTTAAAATTTGTGTTATTGTGTGTGTGTGTGTGTGTGTGTACTAAAAGGGGGGTTATTCAATGATGCTATTCCATAATACCTGTATGTGTTTGCAGAGACAACATGCACTCTTGATGGCGCCATTAAAGATGCTGCCTGTAGCATTTTAATCAGTGGATGATCACCACATTAATACGGAGTATAACAAAACAAAATGTAAACAAATTATATCATCACTGCGGAGAAAAACTGCATTTTGCATCATTTGCCACCAGATTTGGTTGGAAATTTGCATGATTTACACATTTGTTTGTTGTTTGCAACTTTTTCTACTTTTGCTCTTTTACTGCACAGTTCACACTTCATCACAGCCATCACCAAGGGCTACTAACTGCTCTCAAATCCCCGAACCAGACGGACGAGCCTGAAGTCCTCATATCAAATCATTCAAACCAAAGCAGCCTTTGCTTTGTCATTTCAGTCATTCACGTTTATTTCCTGACAGACATAAATTGCCTCTGTGCACCAACAGGTGTGGGACAGCAGACATAACCATGCAGCGATGTGCCTCACCCATCCCTACAGTATGTCTATACCAGTAGCAAAGGGTTGCTTAGCAACTGGCTCACAGCTAGATGAATCTTACACATAGCTCGGCAAAAAGTCAAACAACTAAAAAAGAAGAGCTCTCGCAAACATTTCTCTTTGTCTGTACTCCAAATTATTGAATCATCCCAATTTACAGCACTGCAATATACAATAGAGCTTTTCTAAATCTGCATATATGCTGAAGGAGCACCATAGATTTGTATGTTCTCATTTTCTGTGCTTATATTGAAAATAGCCAGACTGTGCATGGCAAGTTCTTCTGAAATAATGCTCAACAGAGACAGATTATGCATTTCTGATATTTAGAGATGTGTTTATATTTTATTTAGACAGTTCTTTTCCTATTTGAATGACGGTGGGATAAGTCATCAGTATGAGGACCTACTGCAGTGGGAGGACCCCATTTGGAGCCATAAGGCCACTCCTGCAGGACAATATGGACGAGGAGGCACGCAAAAAAAAACCCAATGACTGACAGCCAGCCAGCCAGCCAGTGGCTCAGTGAGCAGGAAACTCAATGATCAAGAGGAAATCCTGGGAGGACTTTGACGAGCATTTACATTTTCCTGGTTTCTCTTTTTGCTTTTCTGTGGAGAGAAAAAAAAGAGAGAGCAAAGCAAACTGGACACGTCCATAAAAGAGACTATCTACTGTATAGATATTGCTCCTGTAAATAAGACAACAACACAGCACATCTGGGCCACGCGGCTCTGTCCACACATCTGTCTTTTGATGGCGAGTCAGGTAACAAGGTGGTTGGTTGCTAAGTTGCGCCGTGACACTCAATCACTTTTCTTGCTGTGGTATCCCTCCTCGCAATAAGTGTATTAAGATGTATCAGTTGAGGCACTTTGTGTTCTAAAAATGGAGTGTATTCATATATGAAATTCTACATACAGTATATACAGTATAGAGAGACAAACGTGCTAAGTTGAATAAATGTGACATTATGGTCATCTCTGCTTTTGTTTCCCTTGGTAATTTTCAGTAGGTTAATTGCTCTGCTGTGTGTTAATGTGTGTGTGTGTGTATCCTAAAACTCCAGGGTAAGATCTGTAGTTTGAAAGGCCAGGTCAGCGGATACCAATGAGTGGACTTGCTGTCACTCATCCAGTTAGTTTTAGCACAAACGTGAACGAGACAGAGTTCCCCTGTGATGCAGTCGCCTTTGTAGAAGTCCCCCCCCCCCCCCCTCCGCCCTGCCCTGCTGTGCATCCAACATGCAAGTACCCTGCATTAGTGCTGCAGATGTTTGTCTCTTCACAAACCAAATTATTCTTACCAGACTATTCCTCATAACTCCTGGTGGCTAAAAAAAACTGCATAACTTGATTCTTCCAAACTTTTCCCCTTGTGGGGGTGGAGCAACAGTGTAGCAGAAGTTTACCAAGTTATTAAGTGGGACTTCTAGAATGGCTACATCTGCACAGTAGCAATCCCATGTACCCAAACAATCAGATCGGATTTGCAATAAGCACCCGAAAACAAAAAGCGCCGATCCACACTGTGATTTCAGCAGCCCGTTAAAACCAGAAGGCGGAAGGAAAGCAGAGTGAAAGTGCAGCTCTAAAAGCTGATAGAAAGGACTGGCAGATGACGCAACGTACGTGTTGCGACCTGCACAGTTGTTGGCTAGCTGTCAAGTGTCACCCTGTACCCACAATCCTCCTCGTGTAGTACACACGCTGCTTTACTCTTTGAATTGACAAAGGGGTACCGTTCTTTGTGTATTTTTAGGATGACGTTGTAACTTGAAAAAAAAGGTGTTTATTTTTTTGAATCCAGACCATGTATTTTTGTGTCTTACTGTTGAGTACATTGCTCTTACCTGTAAAAGTCATGGTAGTCTGATGCTGTGCTTCTCCATCGTGTCCTCAAACTGTCAGGCTTTTGATCCGAGTTCATGTTTTGTATGTTTTACTGTGAGGAAAAATCTAGTTTGAAGTCTGTATTTGTGGAGCCTTTTGTTGGCATTCTAAAGTGCATGCTGAAAAGAACCATTATGTCAAATTGTAAAAAAAAAAAAAAAAAAAAGATGACATACTGTATATCACGTTCAAAACAATGTGTATAGAGTAAAGGTAAATGCTATGTGAGAGATTCACATAAACTATTTATCTTTTAACTGATTGTTTCTTTCTTTGCTTCGTCTGACCTCTTTTTTTCCCAACAGGGATTTGGGGTTTACTGAAAAACACCAAAATCTCTTTCACAAATACAAACACTTATCTAAAAGGACCAGTGTGTAGGATTTAGTGGAATTATGGTGAAGTTGCACATTGCAACCAACTGAATACTACTCATCTTCCAGAAACTATGATGCCCACGAAAAAAAGGGCCTATCTAGAGCCAGTGTTTGTCCCTTCTGGGCTACTGTAGATACATTGCAGACTCCATAGAAAGGCACCTGGAAAAAAACAACTCATTCTAAGGTAATGTTCAGGTGATTATACACTAATGAAAACATACCTATATTTAATAGTATATTCCATTTCTGCCAATAGATCTTCCTAAATGTTTCACACTGGACCTTTAACACAAGGCTAGCTTACAAGCTTTTACAAGCTTGACTAAAGTTCCATACTCATTTGATGACAACTGAGCAAACTCCATTGGCTGGTGAAGGCAATGAGATGCGGCCCAATAGCAAACTATTATTTCCAAGTTCAAGACTGAACTTTAATGCAGAGTTTATATCTCAGGCATTGTGGAACACTGGGAGCAACAAATGGCAGTAAAAACTGAACTCTCAGAAATCCTAAAATGCCATTTCTAACCTATGCTCATGGTTATGAGTTAAGTTTTTTAAATAATTTCCCAAGATATTATGCAGAAAAAACTTTATTTGGTAGTAATTTTAGGGAAAAAAAGAGACTAGTTAATCTCTTTATTCCCTTAAAAGAACACTCCATTCTTAAATCCAAGTCAATATCCAACATTGCGTTGGCTTCAACACTGCTATACATGCTTGCAGGGTAGTTCATATTGCACATTGGAAACTGAATTCATTACAAATAATGAATTTTATGTTTGCCTGCTTTGCATGTCCAGCTGACCTGATTTGCTATCCTAGCAATTAATAGACATAAGTGTCCATCTCCTGTCCAGTTGGACTGTCTCTATTGTCCAAATGATAGGAACGTGAATGCTTGTTGAACCGGGAGTCTGTTATATTTTCTGCCAAATCCACCTTTATCTGGATCTTCCTGTAATGAGACATGAACAGGTTTGTCTGGGCTTCTTTGTTCAGTCCTGCACCTCCCCACCAGCCAGCTGCAGGATTTCTGACCATGACCCGCTCCTGCTACGATTCTGATCACACCCTGTGTCCTTTTGAAAATCCTGTCTGCTCATCCTGCAGGGGAAAAAAGACACATGGAGCCATTACAGAATTTTTTATTTAAAGAAATGCAAATTCGAGTACTGGAACTGGGTGGTGGTGTTACCCATAGCAACAGATACAAACCAGATGCTGGAACATCAGAGCGGCAGAGAGGGTCCTATTGTTGAGAGATCGGATTTGGATTAGGGATGAAAAATTCAAATGTTACCGATATGTAAACACAATGTATACGACTATACACAATGACTACTGACAGTGCAAGTGAAATACGTAGGATTTGTAAGTGACCTCTGCCATACCTAACAGCAGAATGTGGTGGGGAGGTGATTGTTGTTGCTGCACTTTATCATTTACTCTAATAACACAGGTGTGCTTTAACCTGAGCATCATGCCTAGTGCAGCTGTAAATATCATCTCCCAGTGAGAGTAAAAGGCAAACAGAGCAGCCGGCGCCCAAGAACAGAAGATTTGTCTGGCGGCCGGCGTTGATTTCTCCCATAGGTTCAGGCTGAGATAATGGAGAGCCGGCGCCCTCCTCTCCCACTTCCTGTGTACCCTGTTCATTCTTCAACTCACGTCCAGCAATCAGCACCACTCGGCGCACTGTATCTCTGACACATCCCAACTATCTTTACTCCCGTCGCCATGGAAACAGCCACAGACGTGCCAAAGAGATGTAAACAGCCAAAGCTTGGAGTGTGTTTTTCAGGACAGGACCCCCCCTCCCCTTTCCTTTCCTTCACCCTCCCTCTCTTTCACCCACCCACCCTCCTCCTCCCTGCCTGGGGAAGGGGTGGGGTGTACGGTACCAGCTGCTGAAAATCCAAAATACCAAATTCGTGACATGAATATTGCATCAGAGGCTGTTTTAAACCTCTTGGTTCTCCCTCAGTGAAACACAAAGGAACACACATTCCACCCAGACTGTCTGTGTATATATATCTATATATCTATATATATATATACACACACACATATATATACTTACAGAGTATTTTTGTATATTTAGTATTTTTTATGTGTAGCATTAGTTTTAAAAGCAGACAAGACAGCTTCACTGATGAAAACTCATGGGGTCATTAAAATCAAAAGCTTCCACCCCCCAGGGAGCAGTAAAGTTTGGCCCGATGGTGGTGCTAGACGAAAGGTCAGAAGGTCATCGATACTGCAAGAGCTCTGTCCCCATTCTATAACACACACACACAAACTGCAGGTTTTGAGTATGTTGTGTACGTGTGCTGTTTTTACACTATTGTCCTAGAGTGTTGTCTTGCTGTTTAATGTTGGCACAGTCAAATGTATTGTAACATTTCCTGTCGGTGTAGAATGCTAAAATTGATTATGAGTAACTTCAAGAACCATATAGTGTAAAGATAAGTATATAGCAGTGGTTCTTTCTTTATGTCAGACAGCGGACTCATATTCGTTTTATATGTTTAGGTTATTCCATGACTGTAGATTGACAGATTAACAGTGAAGAGTGTGTAACCTATAAACAGAATAGTCATTCTGATACATTCTTGTAGTCAATTAAACAATAGTGAAATTAACATATTCTCAATTTTTCTAGAGACCCAGTTGAGAACCACTGGTACATATTATGTATTGCATGCAATTATGTGGTATGAAATTGGGACACAGTGTAATAATTATCTACCTGGGGCCATGAATAACCACAGGAAATATTATGTTACCTGGGTTAGTACTGTAGTAGATCTTGATTAATGGTTGATGACTAACCCACCAACCGACTTTATTATTCTTAATGTATAATTTGTTGTTTACCATACACACATACTTTTTGCAACTAGAGAAAAAATACTACCTGCAGTACTGAACTGAAATACCATTGCAAACAAAAACACAAAACTCCCCAAACCCCTGACATTTTAAAAAAAAAATATATTAATATGAGATTAATGATACACAGTGATGCCCTCTCCAGATGTTTTGATAAAAGCACAGCTGACACTGATGATCATCAGCCTTTGTGTAAATCTACATGCTATATGAGTGTAAGCAAGAAGCTGGGCTCTGAAGCTGTGGCATTTCAATCCTGATAAGTGCCATGTAATGAGATTGGCGTAGTTGACGAGGGCAGAGTGAGTCAGGCGGTAGAGTGGGGGCTCCGTTTACAGGCTTTGTTCCAGGTGCGTACTCCAAAAGCCACAAGAACGCTCTAAATTACTCACATGCTGACATGGAGCCCCTTATTGACAACCACAAGGGCAGCGTGTAGTAGCGTGCGCTAAGTGCTGGGACACACAAGGGCTGTAAATACCAGCATCAGCTCTGGGAGACAACAAAAAGATAATAATTAAAAAACAAAACAGCAGAGATGAGATGAGGATTGTTCTCTAACAAGAGTCCACACATCCTGGCCCTTCAGCCATCCTGTCCTCCACTTCACTGCTGTAAGTATGTGGGATACTGATGTGTACTCCTCCATAGTTTTCAGGTTTCATCCTTTATTTAGCTGCAGGAAGAGGGATGGAGGGAGTGCTATGCAAATGTTCTCTCTACAATAAAGATGTTCGTAATATTTGTTTACTGGTTTCTGAAGGTTTATAAGATTTCACTGATCTCTGAGCTCCAAATATAAAAAAATAATATTATTTTAGGCATCAGTGTTTTTCACAGCAGCACTGGTAATGACACAGGAATTTTACCATCCAGGTCCACTGTGGAAGAGAAGGAGTTTTGGATCTGTATATACTGTATGCAATATTGATCTCTAAAAGAGTTTTCTTTTAGCAGCCCACCAAGGGGGGGTCAGTGGTCAGCCACAGAGCAGCACTGATGGAGCTGGCAATTACTCAAGGACACATACTGTAAGCAAGCTAGTTGCAACTACCATTAAGTGTGATAGGTTTAAAGCTACAGTAGGTACATTTTTGTCATTATCGCTTTCAAATCTTTCAGTATATCCTGACAGTAGTACGTGAGACAGATAATGTGTGAAAAAATCCGGTTCCTCTGGCTCGTTTTAGTGCTCCTAATGGCATTGGCAACAATCCACCGGGCCTGTTCAAAAACAACCAATTAGAACAGAGAGAGGTTTTGTGTTTAATTGCGTTACTTAACATTGGTGAAACAGCGCCCCCCTCAGCTAAAAGGGCTGTATCAGTCAGTGTACTGGCCAGGTGATGTTAATATTCTTTGATATGCTAGCTAGCTTGTTCCTTAGTGGTGCTAATGACATTAGCTACCTTGCTTCCAGTTAGCAAGCGGCCAAGGAGCAAAGCAGCAAGTTCACCGGGAATAACAGTGGACATGGATATCGCCTTCATGAAGGAAAAGACAGACTGCAGCGTCAAATAACATGAGTCAAATACATTCTCTGTCTGTCTGTCTGTCTGTCTGCCTCTGTGGTCGCTGGAGTGTGTGTATGACACTTAAATGTCCCGTCATGGCTGCGTGTATTTACTGTAACTCCTTGCTGCGCAGTGAATGTTAATGTTATTATGGAGGACATTGTTTCCTCATTACTGCTGTTTACACAATTAGAAGCCTTTTAGTTCATTGGATCAGTTTTGAATATCCCTCATTTTGCATTTATTCAGTGTATGATTTGTGAATGTTAGTAGCTTGTGTATGGTACAGTTTCTCAGTGTTGCCTGTTTGATCTGTGCTGTAATAAGCTTTATTACTCTAGGCTTTCTACTCACATTAATAATCTGAGAATGTTTTTTGTATGCCAGCAGATAGATAATGGGTGTGTAAGTCATGCAATGCTAGTTTTTGATGTGAACATAAAGAAATCAGTGATTTAATGTATTTTA